GTAATTCTTATAAGACAGTAATATCCTACTCCTTGTAGGAATTGATAGTACTGTTGAAAATCATTTTCCTCGTAGGATGCGGGTCATTTGTTTTGGCTCCATTATCCCAACATTGTTTTAGCACTTGTCTACAACTATCTAGCTCTCTCATTTTCTTTGATCAGTTTAGGATGCATTTAGTTGGTGATCTAAAATAAAAAAATTAATAAAAAAATAGAGTTTTATTTCATGTTTGTTAGAAATAGAAGAAAAATTTCAGATGAAAAGATTGTTGTGTCGTGGAAGAACTACTGCCTTGAAAGCAATTTCGGTACAACCATGGTGCTACATTGTATGTTGCCGGTTGCTCCCCAAGGTTAACACAACTTCGAACTCAGACGTGCACTCACCGGAGCCGAATGTAATCGAAGAACGTGCTCAGAATTTTACAAAAGTTTTTCATTTTCCCCTCAAGAACTACCCTCGATTTAGTTTAAAAACAAAGTAAATAAAAACTTTTTGACTGAATTAATTAATTAAAACGTTATAAAACATAATGAGTGAATTAATTAAAAGGTTAAATAATTAATTCAGTAATGTTTAAATAATTAATTGAAACATAAAAAAAATTTCTATTAAAACTTTAAAAATATAAACAATAAAAATTATTAATTCTTTTCTTTATGAATACACATTTTCATTTTGTCCATTGTCATTCCCAACAATCCCCCACAAATGATAAATGGTAAAAATAAAAAATTTTATGAGCAAAGGAAGGAAAATAAACTTAAGCATTAATATCTTTAGATTTGAATTAATGCATAGTGAAGTAGGGCAACAACCTAAGTAGTAAAAGTGAGTCACATTTTGAACTTTCAATAATTATGGTTGAGAACCCCACAAAACGTTTTTATCCTATGTTTTCGATTTCGCGATATAAACTAAGTGCTATTAATGGTCATGCACATAAAACCTCGGGTCATCGTGAAAGCTCCAGAAAGCGACCATTTAACTCTTTCATAGAAGGCGACCCACCTTCACAATCACGTTATTGCTTCATCAAGTCTATCAGAGATAAACCACTCAAGAACTGAGCTATGAAGACTTTTAAAAAATTATCCATAAAGTCCATACAGACCACCCAAATAAAGGGCTATGGATTTTCACAGTGCATCACAATATCATCCATCAAGTCTACGCATAGACCACCAAGAAGAATGGTTATGGATTTTCAGAACAACAGCAATAACCCATCAAGTCTAAGCATAGACCACAAAAAAAGAAGAGTCAGGGATTCACATATTTCGTCATAGTTTTAGTCTCATACAAGCGGAGGACTGAATAATTATCTTCCTTGTTAGGCCTTTGGTGAGATAATTTGCCAAATTCCTCTCGGACCTCACATACTTCAAGGAGATAACTCCACCTTTCAGCAACTGCTTCACAACTTCATTTCTCAAGCGTATATGCTGTCTCTTGCCATTGTACATACTATTTTTGACAATCCATATTGCATTTTTTGAATCATAATGCAAGGATATTAGTACAAATTCCTCCCACAGTCATAACATATTTCATGAAACAAAAATTATTCATACATTACTACACATAAGTATGGTAGAATAATCATTAGCAGTTTGCTAGTCGAATTCATTCAGTTGGATGTCTCTATTGTCTTCAATTTTAAGTTTAATTGACCCAGTTGCCACAACTTAAAAGCTGTGATTGTCTCCCATGAACATTGAACCCCCTTCCTATGATTTGCAATGTAAAAACCATGCTTTCGAAGAGGTCATTTGAAAAGTACACCCTAAGTCAAGAACCTAGTCTCCCTTTTCCTCAATTTTTGATTTCATGGACTGTTAGTTAACTCAAATTGCAAGTTCGAATGTTAGTTTTTGAATTTGTCTAGTCCAAGTCCTAGTTTCTAGGAAGTCGTTGGTATTATTTTTAGTTATAGTAAAGTAAATTAAGTTGTTATACTTTTGGAGTTAGTGGAGTAAGTTTCTAATTGTATGGAGTTAGTTGAATATATTTTTAGCATTAAAGTACGTATTTATATGGAACATAATTGAATGAAATTCACATTTTCCCACTTTCTCATTTATCTCTTAATAATAAAAACTACAGTGGTATTAGAACCTTAAATTCTTAAGGGATCTGTGAGTAAAGTTTAGTGAAATATCCCCAAGAGAAACTGAGTGATACACCTGTGAGAGTTGTGTTCGATGGAGTTAGGATCAAAAAATCTTTTTTCACTGGCTCCACCTGTGTTTGATGGTGAAAACTACCAAGCATGGCCAATAAGAATACAAGCCTACATGGAGGGTTGTGATTATTGGGAAGCAATTGAGCAAGATTTTGAGATTGCTCCACTTCCTAATAACCCAAGAATAATGCATCAAATTAAGACTCATAAGAAGAGGGTCATAAGGAAAGCAAAAGCTCGAGCTTGCCTATATGCAGGTATGTCGCCCGCCATATTCAAAAGAATTATGGTCTTGAAGTCAGCAAAGGAGATCTAGGAGTTCCTCAAAAGTGAGTATGAAGGCGATGAGAGGATTAAAGGCATGAAGGTGTTTAACTTGGTGAGGGAATTCAAGAGAATGCAGATGAAGGATTTTTGGTCAATTAAAGAGTATTCAGACAAGTTGATTGGAATTGCTAACAAGGCAATGCATTAGGAATTGATCTATCTGACAAGAGATTGGTTCAGAAAGTTCTTGTTTCAATATCTGAAAGATATGAAGGAACCATTGCTTCCTTAGAAAATACTAAAGATCTCTTTAAACTCAAGGTGATAGAAGTAGTTAGTGCTTTAAAGCACAAAAGTAGATGAGGTTGATGAAGCAAGAAGGAAGCATTGAGGAGGCACTGAAAGCTAGATGCAGTAGGGAGAAGGTGGAAGAGAGAAGAAGTGGAAATGGAAGAAAGCAAGTGGCAATAGTAGCTCAAAATCCGCTGCAAAGGATGCTGGTAGCGCATTGTGGGAAGCAGAATCATCCACACTTCAGATGCTGGAGAAGGCCAGATGTGAAGTGTAGAAGGTGTCATTTATTGGGGCATAATGAACGGTTCTGTAAAGAAGCAAAAACTCAACAACAAGGAAAGCACATGCTGTGCAGTACAACAGGAAGAAGATCAACTCTTTGTAGCTACCTGTTTCTTATCAGTCACTCAATGCAACAATTGGTTGGTTGATAGTCGGTGTACTAATCACATGACAAGTGATAAAGAGTTGTCCAAGGACCTTGACAAGTCATTCAAGTCAAGGGTGAAGATAGAGAATGATGAGTATCTAGAAGTGAAGAGAAAGGGCACAGTGTCAATAGAGAGTTGTGCTAGAACCAAGTTGATTACTGAAGTATTATTTGTTCCTAAGATTGATCAAAACTTGTTAAGTGTTAGTCAACTAGTAGAGAAGAGATTTAAAGTGTTATTTGAAGAAGGGAAATGCCTCATTTCTAATTCTGGTGGGAATGAGTTGTTCAAAATAAAGATGCAGCACAAGAGCTTCTTACTGGATCCATTCGAGAAGGAGCAGATAGATTTGAAGTGTCAAGTGAATGACATAGAAGGATGAGGCATTTTCATCAGAAGGGGATGCAGTATCTGCAAAAAAATGAGATGCCAATAGGAGTACCAGTTTTGGAGGAGCTGAAAAAAAACTGCAGAGCTTGTTTGATAGGGAAGCAAATAAGATTGCCATTCAAGAAGTCAATATGGAAATCAACCGAGAAGCTGTAGCTCATCCACACTAACTTGTGTGGAATTCAACCAATTCTCTCACTAAATGGTAGCAAGTATTTCATTATCTTTATTGATGATTAAACCCGAATGTGTTGGATATATTTCATGAAGCAGAAATCTGAAGCAGCTGGAATGTTTACAAAGTTTAAAAGATGGGTTGAAAATTAAAGTGGCTGTAAGATTCAGGTGGTGAGGACTGAAAATGGATACATCATAAAGGTTTAATTTCTTCTCTAAAGAAGTTAGTATAGAACATCAGCTAACTGCTCCATATTCTCCACAACAAAATGGAGTTAGTGAAATGAAGATCAGGTGTATTATGGAGACGACAAGGTGCTTGTTGCATGAGAAGAATTTGCCAAAGGAGTTTTGGGCTGAAGCAGCAAACACGACAGTCTTTCTATTGAATAGACTACCTGCAAGGGTCACCCTATGAAGCTCGATTTGATACTAAACCATAACCGATAAATTTGAAGTTGTTCGGTTGTTTGTGTTTTTTTCATGTTCCACAGGTGAAGAGAGAATAAGTTGAGTGAGAAGACAGAACCAGGAATCTTTTGTAGGCTATAACATGGTGTCCAAAGCCTACAAGATCTATCAATCTCACACAAAGATGATGGTGATTAGTAGAGACGTTCAATTTTTGGAGGATGAGGAGTGAGACTGGACAGAAGCAGGGGTGAAACAACAAGAAGTCTCTCTGGATCCTGACGAACTAGTTGATGATGCATCAGTTACAGGGACTAGACTACTGATTGAGGTGTATGAAAGAAGCAGCGTAGCTGTATTGAAGCATGAAGGGTATGAAAAACTGAAAGAGATCAAAAGTAGATGGAGGCAATGAAAGAGGAGTTGAGAATGATAGATAAGAACAAAACATGAGAGCTAGTGGAGAAGCTTGCTGACAGAAAGGTGATTGGAGTCAAATGGGTTTTCAAGACTAAATTAAATCCAGATGACTATGTGAACAAGTTCAAGGTCAGGTTAGTGGTAAAAGGGTATGCACAAGTCTGGGTAGTTGATTTCTCTGATACTTTTGCACCGGTTGCAAGAATGGACACAATCAGGAAGCTAATGACTATGTCAGCTCAGCATGGATGGAAGGTGTATCAACTGGATGTGAAGCCAATATTCCTAAATGGAGTGTTAGAATAAAAGATCTATGTTGAGCAACCAGATAGGTTCATCACACTAAGGCAGAGCATAAAGTTTATTTATTAAAGAAGGCTCTCTATGGGTTGAAGCAAGCTCCTAGGGCTTGGTATAGCAAGATGGATGATCACTTTCTGAACTTGGATTTTGTGAAGAGTCTGAGTGAATCCATACTTTATGTGAGTAAATCAAGTACTGCTATTGTGATTGTATCTCTCTATGCAGATGACTTGCTAGTGATAGGAAGTGATAATGTTCAGATAGAGGTGTCCAAGCAAGAAAGGATGAAGGTGTTCGAGATGACCGATCTAGGTCTGATACATTACTTCCTTGGTATGGAGATTCACCAAGGGCAGAATGAAGTGTTTCTCTATTGTAGCAGAAATTGCTTACCGCAAGTGTACGGGTCAAGTTTTAATAAAGTGGTAAGTCAATACCGATATCGTCCTCTAGATTGAGTTTCTAGATTACTCAAGTACCATAGATACAATCGGTCAATTTTATTTAGAGAATCAAAATCAAATTGGAGAATATAATCAAAGCAAATAAACATGCAATAACAAAAATAAAAACAATAGGGAGAAAGGTTCTAAGGAATTGATTTCAACTATTGAATCTATGAAGCAACTACTTAATTACCCAAGATTGAACGAATTATTAATTCTATAGGCTGAGAACTCTCAAATCTCAACTACCTCTCTCTAGCGCAAACTAATTCTTCTTACGAATTAAGAAACCAATATCCCTATCTAGTTTCTATAACAAGTAAAGGCTTTATCGATCAAGTCTTCTAACGACCTCTAAAGGACTTCTAAATCTCCCGATCTTAAAACCCCTTTAGTTATGTATCCCAGTTCTAACTCTATACCACCTCTCCCGAACGTAAGATTTCAAGTCTAAAATCACTCAATCTATGGTCAGTAGATTCAAGACATTAAGCATAGAGAAGCATAAATAAAACATTAATAAACATTCATAAACATTCAATCAAGAAAACTAAACAATCAATGCATAAAGTTCAATGGCTACATCAATCCCTAAGATAAGAGGTTCAGCTTCTCATATTCAATGGAAAACAATAAAATCACAATGAGAAGTCAATAAAGAAACTAGAAAAATCAAGGGAAATAAGAAGAAACTATGTTCCGCGTGTGAATCGTCCATTCCCGAAGTGAGCTCCACGATCTCGAGCCTTGAAAATCTCTTTTCTAAGCTCTCCAATGGTCTCCTTACCTTCCAAATTGGCCAAAAAGTAAAACTGCCAAAAACCTATCCCAAACTCTCCCTTCTCGGTGGTTGCACAACCCTATTTTTATAAAAAGTTGTCGCGGCAACGTTATGGCGCTACACTATTCACAAAACGCGAAATTTAAACTTCGGAGCGCCGCGGCGCTCTAGGCCAACACCTTGGTGCTATCTCCTCGAGTTTTTGGCTTCAAATCTTGTTATTCCATCTTGGTCACTTTGATTCTGATTTTTCTCTCATTTTGATCCAAATATGTCTCGTTTCCTCCCGATCGTTTATTCCTACAAAATATATCTTATGTGCTTAAATTTGTCATGAAGAACGAAAACTAACAAATAATTTCAATATAAATCTCATGAAATGTAGCTCACAAAATGTGCTATCATCTGTCAGAAGAAGTACATAAGAGAGATATTGAAGAGGTTCAATATGTAGGAGTGTAAGAGTGTGAACACTCCAATGAGTCAGAAGATCAAGTTGCAAAAGGATGATGGAGAGGAACCTGCAGACGATAATGTGTACAAAAGTTTAGTTGGATGTCTCATGTATCTCACATCCACTAGACCTAACATTATGTACACTGTAAGTGTCTTATCTAGATTTCTTCAATGTACAAGCAAGAATCATATGGTCACTGGAAAGAGGATTTTGAGATATCTGAAAAGCATAGTCTTTTGGGATCAAATTTAATAAAGTTGAAAATTTTGAGTTGCAGGGTTACTCAGATAGTGATTAGACTAGGTCATTAGATGATATGAAAAGCACCTCTAGCTATCGGTTCACTTTGGCTCAGGGTGTTTCTCATGGTGTTCAAACAAATAAGATATAGTGGCTCAGTCAACTGCAGAAGCTGAATTCATTCCAGCAACAACAGCAGTCAACCAAGCTGTTTGGTTGAAGAAGTTTATGCATGACTTGCATCTGAAGCAAGAAGAGAGTGTGAAGGTGTTTGTGGATAATCAAGTAACTCTAGCTATTTCATTCAATCTGATTTTTCATAGAAGAACCTAGCATTTTAAGATAAAGTATTATGTTCTTAGAGAGGTGCAGAAAGAAGGAGAAGTTCAGCTAGTCCATTGCAGCTCAGAGGAACAAATAGCAGATATCTTTACTAAGTCATTTAGTGTGAGTCGTTTTCAAGCTCTTAGGAGCAAGCTGGGTGTTTGCTGTATTTGAGTTACGAGGACAATGTTAGTTAATTCAAATTGCAAGTTTGAATGTTAGTTTTTGAATTCGTCTAGCCCAAGTCCTAGTTTTCTACGAGGTGTTACTTTTAGTTATTGTCAAGTCAATTAAGTTGCTATATTTTTGGAGTTAGTGGAGTAAGTTGCTAATGATATGTAGTTAGTTTAGTCTATTTTAGCATTAGAGTGTGTACTTATATGGAGCATCATTGAATGAAATTTATACTTCCCCACTCTCTCATTTCTCTCTTAATAATAAGAACTACATGGATTCATTGTCAGTAGTAACTTTGTTTATACCCCTTGCAACCCTAACAAACACTAAGTAAACTTCGAATCTTATTTTACATAACTTACCGAGTTATCACAAAATTTAACAAAAGTTGAACAAAAATTCAACAAATCCATCATGTTCAAGGAAGCTCAGTATAGAAATTCAATAAAACATATAAAAATCCATAATTTCTTACACCCAAATCCCTTGCGGACAGAAAAACCAATGGTTCTTTACATTAAAATTAAGAACTGATCACGATTTAAAGATTCACAAACTCATAAACCTTTTGAATTCCTCTCTCAGTTCTTCACTGTCATCACAACACAATCACATTTGAAATCATAAATCGACAGAAAGCCCTTTGGAGGATATAATTACAAACTAAACGAAATACTTGAAATTTTGAGGAGCACATGGAAACCTTTTTGAAAATTCATCTCTAAATTTAAAAAAGCACCTGAAACTTTACGTTGGTCAGTAGATGGCTTTCGTAGTGTAATTCTTCTAATTTCTCTTCTTTGATATTGCATCGAAGAAGTCTTCTTCAACTTTACCGACACACATTAACGTTTCCTTCCATACAACCAAGTCTTTATTACGCAAAAAGGATCCAAGGATTCTCAAAGCCAATGGAACCCTTCCAAACCTTTTTAACAATCTCTTTATAGAGATCATTCTTATCTGTTGGGTCATCTCCAAATGCATGTTTGCAGAAGAGCGAGTAGGCGCTCTCATGATCAAGTAACTCCACGTTGTATTCTTGCATTCTATCTTTGTAAATAGATTGACGAAGAAGATCTCTATTTCTAGTTGTAATGATGACTCTACTCCCCGGATGAAACCACTCAGGACTTCCACCTAGATTTTCTATTTGCCTTTTCTCTTCGACCCCGTCAAGAACAACAAGAACCTTTCTACCACTCATGTGGTTCTGAATCATTTGTGCTCCGTAATCTTCATCTTGAATTTTAATATCTTCTTTCAACACGAGTTGAGAAAGTAGTTGATGTTGTAGTGAGACCAAATTACTTTGCTCGGAAATATGAAGAAGACAACTATTCTCAAATTCATCTGCAACTGTATCATAAACAACTTCAGCAATGCTCGTCTTACCGATTCCAGCCATTCCGAAAATCCCCACAAAGCGTACACCATTCGATCCTTTTAAATCTAGGAGATTATACACTTTCAACAGTTGGTCCTCCATTCCAACTAAATGTTTTCCAGAAATTACTAACTTAGAATGAGACGACTGAAATATCTGCTTTCCTGTTTTGCTGATAATATCTACTTGCGGGCTGCATGCTCAAAATATATCAAAGTTAGTTTTTAATATTTGGAATATGCAAGATGTAACTAAGAAATATCTATGTAAAGTTAGTTGTATGTATGGAGAGATCAATTAAATAATTTGTATCTATCTATAAGTTCAATGTATATTATGTGCTTCACCTATTTTCTTCTTTTGCAACATCATCAGCAAGAATTTCAACTTTTGCCATCAGAGGAGGATTAGATGGTGAATATGATGATATGCTTCTAGAATAACCTGAAAATGAAATGAAACAAGATATTGAAAATTTGAAAAACATGATTATCTTTTCATTATTCAGACAACTCAAGGCAAAAGTTATTACCAGTGAAAAGAAAACGAAAAGAAAGAAATGTGACCTTTTGGTCTCTGAGTTTTCAGCCATAGTTTCGTTTGGTCCTACGTTTCAAAATCTTTCATTTTTACCCCTGAATGTTTAGAAATACATTTAAATAGTCCCTCCACTTACAAATATGTTAAGTCTCTAACGGAATGATAATTATTGGACTGATGATTACAAGATCACAACTTTAGGTCATCGTGTAACATGATCGAATGGATAAAAATTCGAGATTTTAATTAAAACAATATTGTGGTGGTTCTTTCATTCTAATCGCATTACACCTAGATATTTTCTTCAGAATAATATCATGATAGGGTTTCAGATCTCAGTGTTCATCTTCCAATTGCATTATACGATGACCATTAAGCAATACGATCACATTATAAGCACCACGATCTTGATTTCAAGTATAATATCATGGTGTTCACCATCATATCACGTTGATGAACACCGAAATATGAAATCCTATCATGGTAATGACGGGACAAAAACCCCATCAATCCACAGACACTAAAACAACCTATTTCTATAACTTTGTTGAGATATATGAATTGATTCCTGGATAGAATGTGCAAAAAAGGATTTTTGTTCATGCTCAAAAAGATTAAAAACTAAAAAATGATTGATTGATTTCCACCATAAACCCCAACCTTCTTTTTGTATCTAAACCTATTTCTAAAAATTCAGGGGCAAAAATGCACAATTTTAAAACGCAAGGACCAAACACATCTATAGCTGAAAACTTAGGGGCCAAAATATAGTACTTTTCATTGAAAAAAACAAAAAACATTAAGAATATACTTTACCTTCAAAATTTGGTAACATGTCCCATGACTTCTCTCCTCCCAAATATTGTAAACTTGCTGGAAGCTTTGGTAATTGCTGAAGCCTAATGCAATCATTAAGGTATAATGCTTTTAGGTTAACAAGTTGACCGAGGCTTTGTGAGAGCCGTACAAAATGATTTCCACTGAGACCCAAAATTTCCAATAAGGAAAAACAGCGCAGATCATTAGGAATATCTTCATCCGCAAGATTGCATTCACTTAGATTCAGATCTCTGACAGACCAAGCATTCCCAAACAAAGGAGCCAAAGAGTGCCAAATATTTCTTGGTAGCCTCTCACAATTTAAAATTTTCAGATTCCATAAAGAACCAATAGCAAGTGGTGCATTATTTATAGATGTTTCCCCAATGTCAAGCTCCTCAAGAGATTCCATCTCCCCAAAACTTGGTGGAATTTGGTGAAGATATTTGCAGCCATTCAAAATGAGAGTTTTCAGAGATCTCAAGCTGCCCATTTCATTTGGAAGACTCAAAATCTCAGTACAATTCCTAAGGTTCAATAAAGCCAAGCCTTTTAGATGTCAAATTGAGTGATGAAGGTCCTTTATACCAGTCCCATCAAGGTGAAGCTCAGTCAAACATTCCATACACCCTTTAATCTCTGGAAAAAACTCGAGACCTGAATTAGAAAGAATTAAAGTTTCGAGATTTTTGCAGCTGATCATATTTGGTGGGAAGCTTTTAAGACTGACACAACCCTCCATATCCAGTAAAACAAGACGACCCAACTTGTTGATTGAAGGGTGAACCACACATAATCTTACACAATTACGTAAGATCAATCTTCGAAGTCTTAAAGCCTTTGAAAAATCAGGGGTCTCAACCAAGTATTCTGAATCACTAACATCAATCTCCTTCAAGTGAATAAATGCCTGTTTCAAAAAAGTCATTGGCATCCATCTTTTCTATTAGAACATAACTACTTCATAATGGAGATCATATAAGTTAGCACAATAGTTATTATAGTAAGACATAAAAAAAAATTTATAATGCATAGCTAAAATATTTGTCATATTTGTAAATATAGCAATAATTTTTGGGTTTTACAAATATGGTAAAATATTTAAAATTTAACTTTTGGTATTTTTTTTATCTCAATTTTACACTAAGACATCATTTGTATATTCACATTCTTATCCGGTATATCGTTATAACTGATTTACTTTGATGTTATATATACAAGGTATATTAGTTAACTGATATACCACAATATACTTCATATACTAAGTATTTTTATCACTGATGCCATATTTTTTCTAATCACTAATATGATTCATATAAGGTATATGTGAGTGATATACTTGAGGTACCGTATATAAAGGATATAAAGGTATATCTTATATACCTTGATGTACTATGTAGAAGGTATATTATAAGTAGTACATCAATATATATTAGCTATAACTAATATAGTTTATACAAAGTATATCAATTGATGATATACTTGATACACCTATATTTCCTTAAATGTTAAAGGTAAGTATATCACTTGAGCTTTTATTAGATAATCTCATCATTAAATTTAGGAGCAATTGTGAATGACATTTCTTAATTCTAGATGATAGAAAATATCCAGAGTCATTCTTTTGACAGTTCTATCTGGGTTGGAGAAAGAGTTTTTATGATGTTATCTCAAATTTCTAAATTTGAGTTTGGACTTTCAACCTATATATAACTCCAAATGATTTTTTTCCAGTTGGAGTAAATTTAATGTATCAATATTGAAGTATATCATTGGTATATTGAGATTCGTATCAGATATCAGCATTCGAA